GTATTTAATGTTCGGCTCCGCCCGAACTTAGACTTTCTTACTTGTTTTGCTTTGAGTTTGTTTCGCTGTTAGTTGGAAGTTGGAAAAAATTCAGCAACATGATAAACTTTTTTCTTGTGGCAACGCAAGTTAGCTCAAGAATGTGGCACACCACTTGCCAATAGTATGTAGCCCACAAAACGCCGAGCGTTTGAATGAGTGACGTGCTACAACATCCCCTGAAAGACGGCACCCCAAAGGCTTTGCATGAACGTTGCTGGCTGGTGGGGTGGTCACGTACGAGATTTTCTCGTTTATTGCATTTCCCTTCGGCTTTATTGCTTTCTAGCTGCCTGTCTCAGCCAGCGGAGGACCACCAACGCTATTCCTTAAGAAAGCAAGTATGCAGAAAACTTGCGAAAGCCATTCTTACGCATACACGTATTGATATAATAACATTGTGCATATGTATGTATGTGTGTGCATACATATATATATACAATAAATAAATTTCAATGACTTTTCTACGCACAGAAATCGACGCATATACCCAACAAACATTAGGTTAAGTTTAGCACTAAGGTATTTCTCAAATCTCCAGCGTTGCTTCTCAACAGTATCTCAAGTGTTAAACAATAGCGTTCTCAACAAAGAGGAAATTTTTCGTTCTATGAAAATAGGACTGTATCTCAAGTTGAAAATAGTTAGCCCACAACTTGAATTCCAATGTGATTCTCCTATTGGACTCAAACGTATCATTAAAATAATGAAACTAAAAAGTTAAATAGCTACCTTTAATTGAAACGACATATTTAGATAAATTTAAATATTTAATTTTTTTATTTTTTTATTTCTTTTGTAACAGTTGAATAAATATCGGCTTACAATAATGCAGGGTTTGTAATGTTTCTCTTTTTAATTTAGAGTTTGAATCGTTTACCAAATTATTAATTTAACTTTTATTTTACCGTCTTTCCTATTTAGTTTTTCATTTGATATTATTTAAAAATTCGTGCTGCCACTTTCTTATTTTTGATTATTTTGATTGAAAGCAATTAGAGAAAATGTTCATCTCAACATGCAGTCTAAGGTCTGAGATGAGTGGGATAATTATACTGTTATATTTATTATATTGATTTGAGGACTATGATTTTCTCTAAGGTTAGAGAAAAAAATTGTTTGGTGTTTGTTGGGTACATACATACGGGCATGAGCACGTAATTTTCCGGATGCTCTGGCCGACTGTGCGTATTCGCATGTCATTGTGTTTGTACGTTTGTGGTTTGTTTTCTCATTTGTTTAAAATTTTTTACGCAACTCTGTCGTTGTCAAAAATTCGTTCATTTGGAAATTTAATTTTTGTCCAAGACGTTTTCGTTTAGCCTCGGACATACTTTAAAACGTGTTTCATTTTTCTTCTATGGATGGGGTTTCTGAACTTTCGTACTGTGCATTTTCCAATCGCGATCGAAAATATGTAGATATTTGAAAATATCTTGATGCATATGTTGTGCGGATGTTAATGCACTCCTGGATTCCAGAAAATATTTTTTTATTTTATATATAAATAGGTACGCTAAGGCAGCTCCTGTGTACACCACCACAAATCGTTTCTATAATAAAACCAAAAAAATCTATTAACGCCTTCTAGTTTGAAATCTTACGACGAGAGGGATTAGATTCATAAAAATTAGAAAAACATCCTCAGTAATATCTAATTATAAATATTATAACCTAGCATATACCCGGCGTGCTTCCCTGCGCATTAAAAGTAAAAAATAAAACAGATTTGAATAGATTTATGAAGTGAGATTTACAAAAAAATTTTCGATTTATGAAATATTTTTTATTTTTTATGAATAAGAGTGTGAGTTAATATATTTTCGAAGGTAATTAATACTGTATACTCTTATAACTCGATTCTACATATCGTTCACTTTCTTCAAAGATGTATTAATTCAGTGTTTAACTTACCTTATCACTTTAACTGAATACAATTTTTCAAATAGGTGGCAATCCGCTATAAAAATATTTTCGGCAGTAAACTTTCTTAAAACTCTTTAGCTTTATACCCGTATTGTAATATTTCATTTATATATTCAAATCAATAATTGAATAATATTTTTAAAACAGGTGGCAACCCTCCTTAAAAATATTTTTCGTAGTAAAATTTTCTAACCCTATTCAGTTGAATACTCATATTGTAATATTTAATTTATCTTATTAATTAGATCCAATTGATATTTTCAAACGGGTGGCAACCTTTAACAAAAATTTGTTCGACTATAAGCCTTTTCAACCCTATTTCTTTTGACAGCCAGATTGCAATATTTACTTAACCTTATCAATTTACTTAAACTGCAATTTTCAAACAGGCTCCAACTCTCCAATATTTTTTTTTTATATTTTAAGTTACACCTTTAGCATTACATCGGTGGAAACTGCGTTCGATTACATGCATCAGTTTTC